GCATTGGCACTGCATCATGAAAACTTTGTGAGGAAAATACCAGAATCGGTTCAATGCTGAAATTTTGTTAGCGCGCGAAATTTGAGTTTCTTGAATTTTCAAAAACTGAGTGAAAGTGGTAGTCCTGAGCTGAATTATGCGAGCAGAGTTGTATAGTTGCGTACTTCAGATGCTTGGCTCTACAACTATAGCATTCTTGAGGTATATTTTGAATTTTAAATGAAGGATATTTCGGTTTTTTTTTCATTACTCGCAAAAATTTCAAAAAAAATCTGCAACAGCCTGTCTATAGTATACATGTCGAAGAGTATTTACTGAAAGAAGGTTTGGAAGGTTTTCCGAGTAAACCTAGTAGGAGCAAGACACATGAATGAATTAACACTTACAAAACGTTGCAAAAATCATTTCCTGAAGGCTAAATAGTCAGAGAATTTTTTTTCACTTGTGGAATAAAACCTAAATTTCAAGAATTTTTCTTGTGAAATTAGCTGTATCGTAATTTTATTTTCAAAGTTTTGGAAAGATTATATATAGCAAATATGATAATGCTGTGATTGTCTCCATAACCGACATTATTCACGAATGAGTCCATGTAGTTGAAAAATATATTTTTAGGAGTTACCGACACAAGGCTTTTTCTTCAGCACCATAATAGTCTCAGATAAACAATAGAAATTTTTCTTTGCAATAAAAAAAAATTTTTTTTGATAACACTGTTCAAAAGCCATTTGGAGGACATTGAAAAAAATACAGTCAAAGCAATTTCGCTTGATTTTTTTTCCAAAAATTAGCTTTGTCAAAAATGTGAGTTATAAGTTGGGTCTAGAAGTTACGCATCTTGCGAATATCGACTTGATTTGCACAGAAATCTTGGATTTGGGGCCAATAAATGCAAAGTGGTAATTGTTCCTTTTTTTTCAAAAATCGTTTTTTTCAACAGCTATATGCTATGCTCAGCAGTTGGTAAAGATTCTCATTATATTTTCGTGTTTTAAAACAAATTTCTTGAGTGCAATACGGAAGCGCGTTTGTTTGACTACTTCAGATTCGGTGGACATACTACTGTAATTTTTTTTTCGCCTTAAACAGCAGCATAATTGTCATCAGACTTTTGAGGCACGCCGACTGTTCCTCATAGTAGAGGCTATAAGAACCGACATGATTAACTTAAAAGAGACAAATAATTTTTGCTTTTGTTTAGCACGGCGACACACGAGATCTGACCTACGCATGGGTGATTTTTTTTTTGCGGTGTATGGTCAGTTATCAACACGGAACTACTGTAATGGCAACTTATAGTAAACTTAAGTTAATAGTTGCGCAATTCCTCTCGTGTCTTGTTAGACGGCGGCTGTATTGTGCGATCAAATGTTCACTACTAGTCTCCGGATTGACTTGTAAGAGGCACGCGCCGAGACCGATGGTTGATGCATCGGTGTGGATGATATAGGGTTTTCCTAGAATAGGAAGCACTAAAACAAGCGCATCCACTAGGGCATGCTTTAATGCTTGGAATGCTATTTCTTACTCCTTGCTCCAAAAAAAACTGCATTTTTTTATGCGCAGTTTGTTCAATGGATGGGAAATTGTAGCAAAACGCGGTAAATCTTCAAAAGTACGATCCTGCACTAAGAATGATTTGAGTACTATTGTTATCTGTGAGGCGCGGAACATTACTGAAGCTGTCGATTTTTTTTGGCGTTCAGGCGTGTACCATTCTTGCTAAACGGTACCTATTATTATCCCTAAATGTTTGAAAAAGTATGAACTTTGCATGTTCTGTTATTCGACAGCGGAAAGTAGATGTTACGATAATATAAGTTGCGTAAGACGTACGGCAGCGGCTTATCGGGCACGACTGTTATTGTTGGCCGTATAAGTTGCATAAGAACAGACGCTAAGGGGTCATATCGTGCAACTGTTGTTGATGGACGTATACCATGATCGTAAAAGATTAGGTTACGCAATTATTAATCCTGTTCCAAGGCTTATCGCGACACAAAGCAGACGTATTTGCACTATCGCAGCTGAAAGGTCATAGCGCTCAACTAATATTAATTTGTCACAAAAAAAATTTGTCGCGGGTCACATGCTTACAACTTGCGAGGGCAGCTGCGTTGCTCTATAGCCAAAGGGGGTCACCGCGCGCGGACAGAAGCACTGGGTTTTGCTATATTTCCTGAGAGGTCGAAGCATTACGTTTTGTCGACACTTCCCAGCAGAAGTTATCTGCAGTGGGCCAGCAGATTTATCTTTCTGGGTCTAATACTGCAGTTTTTTTTAAGCTAGCGATTGCGAACAAGTCCATTGTCTAATTATATTAAAAAAATAAGAAAGTTAACAAAAAATTCACGGAATCACGGTTTCACGGATTCACGGATCACGGATCACGGATTCACGGATCACGGATCACGGCATCACGGATCACGGCTGCTAAATGCGCTTTCGAATTCACGGATTCACGGATTCACGGAATCACGGATCACGGGAAATGCGGGCGCTTTACGAAAGAAAGAATTGACAAAAATGGGACTGTTCGCAGGACTGTTTAAATAATTTTTATTTTATTTTGTTTAATATGTTTTCTTTTCTTTCTGAAATGGTTAAATATTTGACTCATACAGAGGTTAAATATATCACTCACACGGCTAATATATTTTGCGCAAAATAAAAAAAACACTCACACACAATTGTTCGTTGGTGACGTCCACAGCGATCGATCGAATTGTAGAAGGGGGGGGGGGTAAGCTTTTTGAAACCCATATCAAAAGTTAAGAGAAAAAAAATTATTCTAGAATTCTAAAGAATAAGAATCTCACCTGGGACCTCCATGTCAAGCCTAGGGGTGTACGGGGCCTAGCTTGATGTGTAGCGGTACAGGTTGGTATTATATATATTTATTATCTACATATATTACAAGAAAGGGGAAGGGGGAAGACTGACAAGGCAGCCTTACGGTGTGCGGTCGTAGGGGGTCACTCGCTTCTATCTGACCTTCTCGGCCAGCTCACGAGAGAGCAGCAGGCGGAGCTTAGCTGCGTCCCGACATACCAAATGTGACTCTCATTGAAGAAAGCGAAATTACTTTCGGAACGACCTATTATGCCAGATTTTAGGGTAGTCTAAAGGAAACTTTTGACTTTGCCAATTTATTCGGATGAAATGTGTAATGTAGTCAGTATAAAACATTTCAAAAAAAACGAAAGCTTTTCATTTTCAGAGAAGTATTTTTCGAACATTCTAGAAATAGATTCGTGATTTTTCGAGCAGGCCTTGCACATCAAAATGATAGGCACTATATCGCCGCAAATGCTTGCCTTCTAAGCAATTCTTTTTGGGTAGTGTGGACGAAAGCAATTTGCCATGCTGTTCCTGTCAGAACAACAAGCCAGGTCTTTCCTGAAAGCAATGTGCAGCACCAGTTCCGACAAAGCTGGGATCGGGTTAAGCCATTGATTGCTGATCTAGTTTTTAAAGGCAGCGTACACCCAAAATTTGAGTTACCTAATTTTCTAGATCTTTCTATACCGTGTGATATACTGGGCCCAGAAGAAGACCATGCGTTGGTCCGGTCTCCCAATGTTGCTTCTGAGCGGAGAAAACCCCCCTCAATTTTCTTTCACTCCCCCCCTTTTCTTTCACTCCGCCTCCTCCGGACGAATTCACGACAGCGTAAGCTGCAGTTGCAGTTGCAGTTGCAACTGCAAGCTGTCATGCTGTTGCAGCTGCTGGCATGCCGACGGCGACGAGCAGTTTGAAACTCGTCCGCCCCTGAAGAGAGGGTCCCTGGAAATCGGGGTTTTTTGAGACTTTTGGAGAATTTTAATGTCATAGCTGTAATCAGGGGCACGGAAAGGCCCCCAGAATGACAAAAACATCGAAGGCGAAATTTTGGGTGTACGCTGCCTTTGAGGAATAAGCAAAATATTGTTGCTGCGAGATCCGCTCTATAAGCACTAGCTGTCAAAATAACTTGAATTCGTAACGAGAAGTCTATTGCTATAAACTAGCCAAAAACACACAAATAAATTCAATTTTAGTCACGAAACATCAGATAATTCGAAGCATAATAATGTCATAGAGTCCAACCCGCATTTCGAAAGTGAGGCATAAAGTTTTCAAAAAATTGCAGCAGAAAATCGGAATCCAAACTGTCAAGGTATGCAACACCATTTTATCACATAAACTATGGTTCAAAATCCGTTTACGGTATTTAATAATTAGGAACTCGTGAAGTGCATATCTATTTCAAGGAAGAGATTTGTTGCTTGATATGCAAAAAAAAACGGGAAATGAAAGAGCATTGCAATAAGCACTACTCATTTTCCACAAAAGAAAAACCTCATCGGAGGATTCTACCTTTTAAGGTATAAGCTACACGAACAAAATTTGTGCAATCAAGTAGTGAAGTTCCGTTAATGCATTACTATTGTTAGGGCCTACCTTGTATTTCTGCAATTGTTGAGTGCTAAAAAAACTTCTCCTACAGGCTAAACGTGTGCGATTGCGAGAAAGCAAAAGCATTTCGGACAAGAAATATCTGATTAAAAATCCGCCATACTGCTGCCCTAAATTTTGCGTCTGTAATCCCCCTCTGCTTCACATAAAAACTGAAAGAATTTCGTCAAATTTTTTTCCATATTTGTACAATATAATCAAAAGCGTAGAAGTTCTAAGGTCTAGTCTGCTTAGCAGCTGCCGTTTTATGGCTGAGGAATCCGAACGTCAAATGGTTGTAGAGTTGTAGATGAAGACCATTCTCAGCACATATTTTAGTACATAATTTCATCGCTACTCTTGTAGGTACTGGCCAACCGTCTTCCTGTGGCAAAGTTTTGGATCTAGACAAAGGAGGAGCGCGCTGCTTTCTGAGCACCTCAGAATGGTGGGAATTGTTCAGGAATATTCGCACAAGCACTGAATGTCTGGATGAACTTTGCGGTAAAGGCAATTACAATCCGGTGGTATGGAATGTGGAGCAGATATATGCAAGGCTTCAGATGAGTGCCAATTACTATTTTGGTGTATGCCCATGCGATTGTGCTGAAAAGTGCCAAAATTCAACCAGTTTCACCCGTGAGCTGCTCTGCCTTGATGGTTGGAGAATAGGAGTTCCATCAAACACGACAGATCGCAGTTCTCACAACGGTTGCTTCAGTAGCAAAGAATTGTGGTTGTCAACTTTTTACAAATATCCTGTACTACGTGTGAACGATGTGTGTGGCGATAACTACAACGATTTGACTGTGGCAGAAATATTCACTGCTCTTAAGGACAATTATACATTGGAAGAGATAAACAAAACATCGCTGGTGTATTATGGTACTTGTCCTTGCAATAGTGATACTCTCTGCCGAGATCCTGTTCTCTCTACCATAAAGTACTTCTCTCCGTCGATATGTCCACCAAATGGCAATTTTGGTTTCATACCATTAGAAGAGTTAACAAAATCCAGTTGCCTCCAGTTTGTTTCTCCTTCCATCGCAACAATGGACACTACCATGAACCATAAGACTCCTACATCGCCTTACAGTAAAGAAAATAATGTTATGGATGTGACTCACTTTATGCTTTCCACAAGGGGTGACGCTTTGAGCAGTATGAAGACCACAAAACCGCTTGAAGGACCTTGTAACAATCCCGGTCATGGAAGCGCATATTTTGGCCAAAACATCACTTGTTTCCGTAGCAAACTAGAATGGCACGATCTTTTGGACAAAATGCCACAGCTTTGCGGAGAAGGTAATTACAACAAAACTTGGCTTGATTTAACCAGAAATGCTAATACCTCCGACAATTATCATTTGTATTATGGAATTTGTCCATGTAAATGCGCCACAACTTGTAGTAATTCACCTCTGTTCGTTTATGAAAAACCATGCCTATGGAACGGGACCGTAAAAGCCTTGAAGATAGAACAACCAGCTGCAAACACGTCGAGTGTCTCAACATCAACAACTCGCCGTTCTTCCACAATAAAGACGACGCAGTCTAAATCTACCTCGACGATACGGGGTTCAACGACTACTACTCGCAGTTCTGTGAAAAAAGGATTCACTAGCTTGGTAACAGTTCTTTTGCCCACTACTACTGACCACAGCAGTGTTAAAAGTGGAAGCAAAAATAACGTTGCCCAGTTCTCTCCTTCCGAATCTGAACCGGACCTACGAACTACATTTATCCACGGAAAAGACACTGCATCTGATTTCTTGTTCCCTACAGAGTTTTACCATAGGGGGGAAGGACTTTCAACAACGATTCATCAACAACAATCCATCGTTTCAATCTCGACAACAGTAGGGCAAGACGATTTAATTATGGCTAGAAGCTTTTCAACCGTTCCAAATATACTTCATTCAATGCTTTCCACTATGGTTGCGTCTACCATGAGCAACATGAAGACTACAAAAACGCATATAGGAACTAAGCGGAATTCTGCCGGCTCCACTGTGGCGTCCAAAACGGACATGACGGTATCAGAGCAAGGATTAGCTCAAACTACCAACTTTCGAAGCTCTCATCAAACATCAGCTGAGAGTGCAATATATCCAGCATATACTAGCTTGTCAGCAGCAATAAGCACGTCAAATGATGATGGAAATAAACCAACCCTAAAGCCATTTGAAGAGAGCAACACATCTCCGATAACGATACGCACTTCAGAACAAGGTTGGCACGGGATTTCGACCACAATTTTGAGGACCGAAAGGACTGAAGGACAAGGTTCATTTACTAGATCATCAAATGTCTCTCCAGAAACATCAGTAATAACTTTGTCTGCAGAAGCAAGCACTACAAGGCATAACCAGAACTCTTCTGAGACGCCACTTGACCATACAGCCCCACGCACAAATTTAGAGAGTTCTGAGACTACTGGTACTGCATATAAGTCTTCAAGCCACTCAACCATCTACGAGAAAGTGACGACATTGACGAATTCCAGCTCATCTACAGAAACGCAAGAAACAACCATATCTGCCAATACCATCCATCCATACAATACATTTCAGAAGACAGTAAGTTCAAATGTTGCAATTTCAAGCACAGTTTCAACGCCATCAGTGGAGATGACCAAAACAATCACAAACGCTTTTGGAGACGACACTTCCAGCTCGAGCTCTTCTGATTCTAATGCAAGCTCTGCCACTACGAAAGTCACGAAGCATGACAACATCATTTTAAAGTCAACAGTATCAACATCGGCAGAGACAGGAAGTTCCATGCCCAAAATTTCTTCATCAACATTAACAATGTCAGCAGAGACTGAAAGCTTCATGCCTGAACATTCTTTGATCGATGACAAAAAGCTCTCTACCGAAGTGATGAACGCGAATTTATCTGAACCATCTATCCATACTTTGAGCGCAAGTTCTGGAACTACTGAGGATCCAAGTGTTAAAACATCATATTTAACGGCATCAGAGTCTTCTCAGGAAACACCATTGACTTCTGCCAGCGAGTATGGAAAAAGCCCCACCTATTCAAACAAATTGAATACTGAGGAAATGGCTGCGAGCACGTTTTCGTCAACACCTAGGACTAAATCAACTCTATTTAGTTCATCTGCTGATTCTAGCAAGGAAAACGTACACATGACATCTTCCACTGCCCACGCTTCCGTCTTGTCAACTTCGGATTACGAATCTAGCGGAACTCTTAGCACATCATTCACAAAGTCAGCACTGCGTTCGAAGCAGTACAGCTTCTCAAAAAGTGACCGTTCTGAAGAGACCAAAGCTGTAACGAGCCACGAAAACAGAGCTTCCTCAAAAAATGTAGGGAGCTCTATTTTCTTGAAGGTTATGAGTGCTGACAAAAAAATTTCCGCCATCTCAACTACGTCTAAAATGCCGGAATCTAAATCTCAAAGAATGATGGAAATGGGTTCTACTGAAAGCAGCTTTGAATCAACTGATAGCGCAGGAGCTAGGACGAGCCAAACTGCATCTGCTACCAGTCGAGAAAGACTCGAACTTTCTACGACTACTGGTTTAGAAGATGGCCAATGGACGGAAACGTTTGCCTCTACATCTAAAACTGCGATTGGAACAAGCGTGATAGAAACTCCGACGATGCCGAAACGTGAGTTCACGTCTGAGGCATCTTCGCCATTTTCTGATGGATCAAGTGCAGAAGCAAAATTGACCAGTAGTGAATCAGCAATCCCTAGCAGCGAACAGACAGCAGAGTTTACGACGGAAACTTTTGACAGTAAACACAAAGCCGCGAGTCTCGAAGGCACGTTAACCAGAGGTGTAACAGAACATCGAGAAGTGAGCACAGAAATTCTTAGTAAATTGGATGAGCCAGTTTCTTCCTCCATGGCGCCGATATCCTCATTGACATTCTTTATCGAGGAAACTGATAAATCTTCAAAATCGTATGAGAATGAAGTTCCAGCGCACTCCACTGATGAATTCGAAAGCACCTACAAATTACTCTTTAGTACATTCACAACGAAGCAACACACTAATTTTGCTTCGTTGCCGCTGGTGAGCACCATCACTACCCCTTCCAGTAAACTTTTGATTTCCGAGGCAATGTCGAAATCAACATCTATGTTATCTTCACCCCCACCCCATTCTGAATCCTTATCCACTATTATATCAATTCAGCCGAATTCGCAAACAACTCAGGAACACCACCCTACACCTTCCAATGAATTTCCGATTTTTGAGACAATGTCGAAATCAAGATCTATGTTATCTTCACCGCCACCCCATTCTGAATCCTTATCCGCTATTACGTCAATTCAGCCGAATTCGCAAACAACTCAGGAACACCACCTTACACCTTCCAATGAATTTCCGATTTTTGAGACAATGTCGAAATCAACATCTATGTTATCTTCACCGCCACTCCATTCTGAATCCTTATCCACTAATACATTAACTCAGCCGAATTCGCAGAGAACTCAGAAAGACCATCCTACACCTCCCAATGAATTTCCGATTTTCGAGACAATGTCGAAATCAACGTCTATGTTCTCTTCACACCTATATCATTCCGAGTCCGTGCACAAGTCGAATTCGCAGACAACTCAGAAGAGCGACCGCCCGACGACACTGTTTGACGTCACAACTCTTTCGGGAACGTTAACTCCTCCAAGAGAAGGCACACCAAAAGACACTTCTATATCAGAAATAAGTGCTTCATTCTTTCCAACCCTTACAAGCATGTACGCCATCAAAGAAGTAGTGACAATCTGGTCATCGCTCTTTACTAAATCCATGCACACGACCTTGTCAAATGTATCCAGTGTGTACCCTACAGCCAGACCGGGCTTTAGCTCTGATAATATATTATCAGAGCTCTCATATTTGTTTTCGAAACATTTTACTGGCACCGGTACGCCATCAACAGAAGTGCGACGATCCGAACTTACGAAAGCTTCACTCGTTCCCCTACATGACCACCCGATAACTGCACCGGAGGCAGAAACAAGCACAGAATGGTCGGGTACAACCCCTGGTTAGTTTCTAGAAAATTTGGTAGTTTGTTATGTTACAGAATAGTAAGACAATAATCAACAATATCTCTAGATTACTGCAAGTCACCGTGCCCACCCGGTTATGAGGAAGGTCCTGAATATTGTTATCGTATCCTCGCTGCAAAAAATTGGACATCATATAGGAGAGTAAGTCATATTATCTGAATGCAGATGCGCGGGAGTTGTACGATGCTCTGACCAGGGCTTAGCGCAGAAATTTTGCAAGCATGGATTCTTGGCGCAAAAAGCAAAGGGGGTATCGTTAAACAGTTACGCAAAGTGCGCGCAGCTTGAATGCAAGGCTGAAAAAAACAAATGGCTTGCTTACAGCGCAGAGACGAGCTTACGACACCAAATTTGTACTGTATATGTAGAATATTATTTACAGAAGTATGTGGAAGTTTTGTAAACTTTGATACGATAGGAAAATCTGCAGGTCTCGAAGATAGATTTATCAATAGGTTGGAGTTAACAATAAGCTGTCCAGTCGTTTACAGCCTTTTAAAGACGCACAAGCTTCTCTTGCAGGATACGAGTTCAACGTCAACGGAAACTTATAAAATTAGCCTATAATCAGTTGCGTAGGCGGTCCTATCGATAGAATTTCGTGGTTTCTAAACAAAATTGTGACAATTGCTGTCAAAGTACCAGCACATCTATCCAATTCACAGAAATTTATCGAGGTTCTACAGAACGCAAAGCTTGACACAGGTTCTGTTATATCGTTCGACGTAACATCACTCTATACTACATACAGAACAGTCAAGCTTTACAAGCGTTATCAAAGTTGTTGGACAGATATGCTGATGCCATAAACATGTTTGGACTTCGCAAAATGCGCACGATGACCCTAGTTAGTAAATGCTTGAAGTGCAACTTTAGATGGTCTGGGACTTACTACTTTCAGATACGCGGATTAGCTATGGGTCAAAGACAAGCACCGATTCTCGCAATTTGCTTCATGGGTAAAATTGAACAGCCTGTGTTAGCTCGTACGCCTTTGATGTACCGCCGTTACATCGACGATTGCTGTGTTATTATATCAAAACAATCCGAAGTGGATGAGTGTTTCGACATTTTGAACCAGCAATCGCAGTACATCAAACTCATACCCAAAACACCCAATACGCGAAACACCACGCGACGATTGGCTGACATATCTAAATGCACAAATGAAGTTCTCCGGTGGCATAGTTAAATCAAAGTTGTACCGCAAGGAAAGCTCTAAGAACATCCTCATAAATGTAAGGTCCGCACATCCTGCATCTGTGAAATGCGCGGTTATCGGAAACATGTTTAAGACGGCTAGATGTGATGAGATGTGCTCCGGAGAGGATGAACACAGCGAATCACGAAAGCTAGCTTCTCAAATCGCTTGTAGTAACGGTTATTATAACTTACCGCGTATTCGACGACCTGGAAATGATAACCGCATTCATAATAACAACAAGCTCCCACCTTGCCTTCCCTTTATCTCGGATAAGATCAGCGAGGCGTTTCAACAATGCATTGTTAAGTATTCGCATGAATGAACATTTGGCTGATAAAAGGCCTAAGAACAAGAGCTCGCCGCTTGGCAGGCATAGAGGAATTCGGCATGGTGGAGAAGATTTCGATGCCAGATGTAAGATCCTTGTGTACGGAGACCTCGGCTAGGAAAGCGTTAGAAGCTTTCTGGATCTCTGCAAAGAATCCAGAAATGAACAATAAGATCGATTGTCTACCAATAACTTCTAACTTTCTCCCGTTCGTATCGCTATGTGATCTGTAGCTGTAGATCATTTTGTGTATATCTACAGTACGAATATTCGTCTGCCGCGACCACCTACTTCCTTTGCAGACTATTCTCGAAAAGCGGTGCTCTTCCGGTATGTCCTTCTGCTTTGACGTTTTATGTGGTAATAAGATTGTGGGAAGGTCGAGAACTGGCGGGATTGGAGGAGATGGCTTGGTGGGCTGGAATCACAAATAACACTTGGAGCCATTCAGGCCTCTGAGGAAGACGAAGGCGTCGAAACATAGAGCCGTGATTAGAAGAAGAATAAAATCGCTTAACAAACCTGTTCGGCATAGAAGTGATCAGAAACTTTGATACTCTCAACATTGGTCTTCTGCCAAAACACCAGGAGAACCGAGTCACTCTGGAGCATATGGAGCACGTCCCAAAACATTGTGCAAGCTGCTTGATCGTTAATAACTCCCTTAGCGCATGCCTTCTACTGCTGTCAGGGTTTATAGAGCTGGCGACTTAGACTTACAGCATGGAGCAGATAACCATTCTGTCTTCGTTGCCGTACAATCAAGGTAGGAAGCTTGGAGAGGGTTTTGGGCCTCTAACAACAAAAGCCACATTTTGCTTCAAAAAAAAACCCAAGAAGCTAGAAACTTTGTTAGGTTATCTAGAGTTTCATACTTCAGATATGAAACTGGGACTTTACCGTATTGCTTCTTACATTTGTTATCCCAATATACGATAACAACTGTTTTTATAATGATTTTCAAAAGATGCGAGTCAATCGAAAAACTTGGAAAACTCTGAAAGTCGTGTAGTAATATCAAAATGCGTGAAAGCTCTCCTGCAAAAGTTCCCATATTGTTGTGGATAGTAGGTAGTCGATGAAAAGCTCGTCAAATCTTTATTGGGAACGTTTGGTTTCTCATAAAACCATCATCAGACCTTGAGTTACAATATGTGCATTGCAGTGAGGGGATAACACATACTGAAGTTTCCATATATTTTAAGAGCTTTTTGAACTGGCCTGCTCTGATTGGCGCAGCACGCTCGAGGTTTCCACCGTAGTCTCACAGTAATGAAAAGCGATCAATGACTTGCTCCGCACTGGTTACATGAGTTGGAGCTAGCTCTACAAGACGTTAATTAAAGATTGGAGCATAAATCAAAGCGATAGAGTTATTTTCGATCCAATAGTGTGCATATTTTCTGGGACGCTCTGTATTTCTGTGAGTCCATACTTGTTGGTTTTTCTTTCATCATGAATGAATTCCTCAGGCAAAAGTCTGTCCTTGACCATGACCACCGATTCTTAACGTTGTTTCTCTTTTTTTAAATGATCAGAAAACTAACTATGTTAGATAGTGCGCTTAGAAATCAATTGCAAATCCCGCTGCAAATTGCAAATACGACAGCCGTCTTGAATGACTGGACGCAAACTTCAACTTGGGTAATCAGATGTTTATGCCGAAGTCAATAAATCAACATGACAATAAATGGACTAAATCGTACTCTAAAGCGGAAGCACCCCCATCTGACGTCGTCAGTCGCGCCAGAGGTGTAAACAGGTTTTGTGCCGGTGCGAGCGTACCGAAGTGATGACTCACAATGGTAGTGATCCCTGTCTTAGGGCCGCATGCACTAAGATCCCCGCGGGGAGGGGATCGCAGCTTAAAAGAAAGCTTTATATTTCGAAACTTCAGATACCTGGATTTCACGTTGTGTACCTATCCGTAAGTATTCCTACTACCCTTCACTATGAACATGTTGGAGAGGAGCGAGAAGCTGTACGAACCGCATTTTCCAGCTTTTGTGTGATCCCTGATGATCCCCGGCGCTTTTCTTTAGAGTCATTTTTCTTTCACCAAAGTTAACGGATAACCTCCAAAGTTGTGCAGATTATCCAACCCAACAGTGCTGAGCATGTTCGTGATAAGAACAAATGATGTTCCGAAGTCATGAAATTTTCGATGATCCACAGGTCGAAATTTGAGGTTTACCGAAAAATTCGACTGTTCAAAAACTCATTTGTTCTCATCAGCAACATGCTTAGCACTGTTGTGTTAGATGTTCAGTACAGCTTTGGAAAGTTTTCGTTAACTTCGGAGAAAGAAAAATGACTTTAAAGAAAAGCGCCGGGGATCATCAGGAATCATACAAAAGCTGGAAAATGCGGTTCGTACAGCTTCTCGCTCCTCTTCAACATGTTCACAGTGAAGGGTAGTAGGAATACCTACGGATAGGTACACAACGTGAAATCCAGGTATCTG